TGTTCGCTATGAATAGTAACGTACATTTGATTATTAAGAAGAAACAAAACTATGGCAACAGGCACGCTCTCATATTGCTAGGCACAACTTAGAGAAGCCATGATCTTAATTAATCATGCTGATTGCAGTAGTAGACATAGACGCATACCCCAAATCCGTGTTTTGGATGGACTCTGAGCTCAACAAGAGGGCTTGCAGTAGCATAATTCATCAATGCAATTCATCATGATATATGCTTTGTTCGAAATCGATACATATTGCCACTCTGCCCACGCCAAAGTCTAGTAAAGTATATTTCGCTCTTGTGACTTCAGCTTATTAGTCCATATGTAATGATTAAATTCCACTGAGAAGATCCACAGATTTTATTAAGAAGTTTGATAGAAGAGATAATGGTCTGTACATATTGTTACCACAAAACAGCACTGAAATATTTTTGGCTTCAGTATCGTAATGTACCGGTATTGATATTGTCTTACAATACCAGTGTTCACGAATAGCGTCTGACCCTCTGACAAATCCGGCAGATTTGCCAACGGTCCGATAGAAGTCTACAACCCACCAGCCCCAGTGTCTGACTGTATATTTCACAATGACTTTGACTTAAGTTGTTATATCTGACATGTGACACTTGTTTGCTGTTTATATATCTTGTATTTGTTAATAATTTCAGTGCCAGTTATAAGAAATGTTAAATCTGAAATGTATGTTTAATTTTATTCTATGGGTCCTGTGAATTTTCAATGGGTCAGACAGACATCTGAAACTTGCAGGACCCAATGTCCTGTTACCTTGAAACACCATTCGTGAACACTCCAATACTAGAGGAATAAGCATAAACGTATGTATTAACCCTATAAAAAATGAGATAAAAATACATATTTTGTCTTCCTTTCTATTATCAAAACTAGACTATATTTACATAATTTTAATCGGAAAAAGAATATCAATATATGTGTGTCACAAACACTGTTATGTTTACAGCCATGCTGTGGTGACCTGCATGCAATACATGTCCGTATATAGCCTGGGTTTTTCCCAGCCTCAAGCATACAGTCACATCAGCATTGAAGGTTAGCATAACAATGAAACATGTCCAATAAAAAGTATTCCTGTGAGGGACAGTGGGGTAGCCTAGTGGTTAAAGCGTTGGCTCGTCAAGCCGAAGACCCGGGTTTGAATCCCCACATGGGTACAATGTGTTAAGCCCATTTCTGATGTCCCCCGCCATGATGTTGCTGGAATATTGCTAAAAGTAGCATAAAACTACACTCAGTCAGTCAGTCAGTAATCATGTGAGATAAGAGAGAGTGAGTGAATGTTGTTTTACGTTACAGAAATGTTACCACTACAGCATACAGGCTGTGAATGCTAATGTCGCCTTAAGAAATAATATTATTCACATTTTCTTAAAAAGTACCTTATTTAATTCATCAGATAAAATGATCATTCAATATAACAATATCTTGTCATGCTTGGAGATATAATTACAATCTTCAAAACCACTGCCAATTATTTTTAGGGTCTTTCTTATGTGATGTACCAACCAAGTATGTAAATTGATGAAATTGTTAGAGCAGAAACTATGAGATGATTATACATATATAAAACCAATGTAAATGAATAACAAGTGATGATTTAAGATCAATATTCATATTATTACCATTTTAGCACTCTGGAGATATTATCAGAAATGGGCTTCACACATTGTACCCTTGTGGGGAATCGAACCCGGGGTCTTTGGTATGACAAGTGAATGCTTTAACCACTGGGCTACCCCACCGCCTGATTGGTCAGTTGAGTGAGTGAGTGAGTTTGGTTTTACGCCGCTTTTAGCAATATTCCAGCAATATCACGACGGGGGACACCAGAAATGAGCTTTGCACATTGTACCCATGTGGGGAATCAAACCCGGGTTTTCGGCGTGACGAGCAAATGCTTTAACCATCAGGCTACCCCACCGCCCCAATTGGTCAGTTGAAGCCATATGATATCTTAGTGCTTTGATGTTAACGGCAGTGCTTTGCTGAAAAAGGTTTTAAATCAAATATTGTTATGATGACATAAATTTGAATTTAAACCCATACTCATTCCATATAGATTTGTTTATGCACCTATTTATATTTGTACATATATAACAGATAATACCAATGTATTATGACTGCTAAAAGGTCATGCATATGTATGTAATGTAAGTGAGTGAGTGAGATTAGTTTTATGCGCTTGTAGTAATATTCCAGCAGTATCACGGCGGGTAATACCCATTGCTAAACGTTAACAACACAACAAAACATGACCCATTTGAACGATCAACTGATTCCACCAACTCGCTTTCGAACGGCCATCTGGTGATTCATTATTGCAATATAAGCAATCATGGTTATCAATGATGTATCATGGAATCATAGAACGAATATTTCAGGACATAACACGTGATAAATCATCGTTCAAGGGAAAAGATATTCTGTCCATGCACTGGCGTGAACGTTACCATGAAGGTGAAGGCTATACTGGTTAACTGTCTCACAGTTAATAGTAACACTTACAGCTTGCATTGCACATACGACTTGCGCTGTCAGTTTAAGGTTGGACCTTCCTGATCAGCGCACCTTGCGGATTAGTGAAGGGAAGATAAATTGAAAAATATCACTCATTATACATGACAATTATAGGCAGGTGCTTGAAGTCACTGCTTATCTAGATAATGTCTACAATAACGTCAGGATTTCAAACCATGAAAAACTGGTGAAACCCAGCTTTGGTAATTAAAATTTAATACATTTAGAACATGTAGAACAGCATTCACATGCTAACCTAACAACTCATTTTAACTTGCCGAATTAAATTTTAATCACTTTATAGTTGCCATTATTGACTTCTTCTGTGAAAATGATGAGAACTTTGTAACATATTTTCCGACTATTCATTCTAAAGTATGCTGTCAATGGACAAAGCATGATGTCAACATGTTCATGTGCAGTGCCAGTCTATACTCTTCTTGACTAGTTCGCACAATTGTTTGTATTATTTTGAGAATATGCTCAATGCTTCACTTCTTGCACATTGACTTCAGGCAGCTGCTGCATTTCTTATTGAAGAGGATGATTATCACTGAAGTGAACATAATATACTTCACCCTCAAACCCACAAAGAACTTCAAAGTCTGCGCTAATGTTTAATGTTTGCATTATAAAGTATTTATCAAGCTTACATTGAAATAGTGAATCACTTTTTCTCTCGCATGTTAAGTGCTAAATCATTATGCTATTTAAGCACTTGATGTAATAAAAGACTGTAGTTCTTGTCACATAGTCAATCAGGCAGAAAGGTGATCATGAAGTCACAATCATGCAAAAACTGAGCTAACAACTTTGAAAAGTTAATATTTCTAGGGTTTATCTTTATATTCTTCGCAATAAGTGTAATTATGATGATTGTTACATTCAAATGGACTGACTGACTGAGTTTAGTTTTACGCCGCTTTTAGCAATATTCCAGCAATATCACGGCGGGGGACACCAGAAATGGGCTTAACACATTGTGCCCATGTGAGGGAATTGAACCCGGGTCTTCGGCGTGACGAGCCAACGCTTTAACCACTAGGCTACCCCACCGCCCCACATTCAAATGGAAACAACTGGATGTTCTCTTTGTTGTTTAACACCACAGTCACCAATATGCCAGCAATGTGGCATCCGTCTCTAAATAGTCTGTTCTGGACCAGATATTCCAGTGATTGACATCATCAATCTACGCAACAGGGATAAAATGGCATGCATTAACCAAATCAGAGTTTGTGATCCCAAGAGCCTGTTTTTGGCCTCTTATGACAAGCATGACCAATTCACAGGTATGGAAACGAGCAGAAACAATGACTCCATTGTAAATAAAAATAATTAAAAGCATTCCTGTTCACATATGGCACATGGTGTTATATTTCTACGTCCCATTGCAAAGGTGTATGTGTGTTCTCCTGTCACAATAGATGGGTTCACTGACAGGAACTTTTGAAATGAATAAGACAGATCTGATTGGAATAAACCTGTGACAGTACAAATATGTCATTTGGGGCTGAAAATTCACTGGTAATTGTAAAAGTGATTTTTAATGAGAAATGAGTTTGTGTACAAAATCTGTAACTGTCATCAAACAAAACTCGAAATTCTCATTCTCTTTTTCTTAAGCATTCATTGTTTCTGATGAAAAGGTCACAATCGATCATGATATTTTTTCATGATTAACCCAGATAATCCAACATTTTAAGGAACTTCAAAGGAAAGTTCCACATTATGCAAACATGCCCATTTTATTCAACAATGAAAAGAGCATATGATCAAATTGTTCAAGAATTCTTCAGATGTTCTGCTATCCATCAGATTCCTGCCAAGCTTCTGTGAAGTTACGGAATTCATATTTCTGATTTATAATTCTATGCTCTGCTTCAAGCAGCATCTCTGTGATGGAGTATTGTATGTTAACCAGCATCTAAATCATGATACTGTCAGAAATACATTATACTGGAATATTAATAAAAAGAGATTTGAATCTGAGCATGTGTGTAATAACTGATTTTATGTAATGAGTGTCAGAATTCTTTGACTTCCTGAGCAAAAGCTAGGGTAATGCATGAATTCTTACACTTGTTTCACTATATCAGTATGGCACACATGCAAGAGTAAAGATTTGTCTGCATTTTTTTTATCACGCAGCATTTGTTAATCCTGTTGTGTTTCCCTTTACAAATAAACGCAGTGATCGAAATACCCAAAACAGCTATCACAACGTTTGTATAGTGACATCATTCCAACATTAAGATACAGTATGACTCCAATGCCATCCAGATGACATAAACTATACACTGGTACGCACTAGTACACATACAACTTTAATGAACTCGGTTATTTCAAGCCTATGGGTAATAAGACTCACTTGCTATTCTATAGCAATATACATACTGGTTAAGATTGATATATTATTCAAAGAATTGGAATGTGACATACCTCACTTCGATGGCCTCGGAGATTGAAGTTTGAACGAGGTGGCGCTTCATACTTGCGACAATGGCTGGTAGTAAATGTGACCCCAACCACGCCCTTAGCGTTACCGCTAGCCAACCATCCTTCCATGTAATACTGGGATCGGTTGAGTTTCCATCCCCCCACCTTCATCAGGTAGCCCATCGGGAACCTTCCCCATCCATGACAACGAATGGATAGTGGAATCAGTACGAGTAGATGTCGTCTGCTCGAAATGGACATGCATTTTCGACGGTGAACTTATTACTCAGAATAGTCTGATGACAATTTTTGGCTGAGGTTGTCAATGATGGAATGAAGAATATGATGTAGAATAAAAACTACAAATATCTCGATAGAAATATCTCCATACGTTGATCCTCAGCTGTTGTTAACTTCTTCAATGGTCTGAAAACAAACAGGCTTCAAAGGAACCCCCATTTGGAGTTCAAATGTTTGAAGTAGATGGCGCCAATAGGTATCACAGTAATTATATTTTGATTATACTCAATCTTCGACTGAAAGCATCCAATTCTTTCATCTCTTCTTTACCCAAAAGCTGACCAAACAACTCAAGTTTTAATCATACAAGCCATGAGAGCTAGGCACTTCTCACGTCGATGTTTTTTTGTCGCCTCATTTTAAACCAGCATAACAGTGTTCCTGAATCAATAGCCTGTCATCATAGCGCAGTTCAACTTCAGTCTTGCCTGCAATGCCGTTACATCCATGACTTATTAAATGGGTGCACTGTGCATGATATGGTCATAGCAGCATACTTTTTCTCCGTTAGAGCCTAATAACACTCTCCACTGCTCTTATCGGTATCCTATATATCCTTTTACCGATCAATATATGTAAAGCAAATTACTTGAGTACTTTGACATACATGCTTCTTGCAACAGTAAGAAATCACACAAATTCTTACATGGCACTTTTGGTTATGTTATTCAGTTTCCCTGTTCCTAACCAAGGTAACCATGTGTAAAGGACTCCTCATCCACTGTTTAGTCAGAAAACGAAACAAGGAATATGATGGATGCTTGCTCATGTCCGCTTTTCAATATTGGATCACATGTGTCATTGAGAGGATCTTCGACTCAACGATGATGGTAAAACTGTCAAAATCACCAAGGTGTCCCCAAGCTTATATGTCACTATGTTCACATATCATAGCTTGTCCAATCTGCAACTTGTCAGAGAAGTCATTCATTAGCCACGGAGCGACTCCAGCACACTTGGTCCGCCCTCTGTGGCAAATGGGAGTCTGGTCAGTGCCTCCACTTAACTGAAGAGGAAATTGTCATCTTAGCGATTATTCCGCCCAACCAGTGAGAAACTATCGCACGCATCATAACTCGGTTCGCCCACAGCTAGGCTTGCTCGTTCCGATGTTTCACAATATCTTGGGCCATAGGAAGTGATCAATTTTTTTCTTTGGCTTGCGTCCTGTTTCTATTGTTTCTCCGAGTCTTTGAATAATGGTGTCACCGGCCCGTTTCTTGGTCCAGCCTTGCTTCAAACTGACTCATTCACCGTGATCGGGGATAGATCGGGCACGCTCGCCTGCATCCCTGGTGCGTTAGTATCGACGGTTGCTGCGAGAGTAAATGGAGGCTTTAGGTATTACGGCCTATCCATATCTGTTGTTACAGCTCCCGAGTGATTAGTTTTCGGACACATTTTCATTCTACTAACCAAATTGTTCTATCGTGATCAAGTCAGTTCGTCTGCAGTCTTCTAAGATACTGCCACTGCGCATGTCCCACTCGACCACATGCAACTTCCGTATCTGTCAAAACACAGTGGGCGTGTCATAATGGCTGAAAGCGATGTTTGGTGATGCTGGCTTTCTCCCTCGGCAACCCACTGCTCTCGCCAGCATCAACCGGGATATGTCGCTTACAAATTATATGGCATGCCCGCAGCAAAAGATCTTTCGACCCGTGCGGGATACAATCGATTTTTATCGGTCGGCTTCAACTAACATGGGCTAAAAATAGAAGCGCACGTGCAGAAAATAATGCCACTGCACTTCCTCGGCGATAAAAGGATACGAAATATAGCAATTGCTTTAGGTCATAAATCACTCACTAAAACCTTTTTAAAACATTTTAATGTTCCATACATGTATTTATCGTGTTCTCTTTATGTAAGATGTTTTTTTCTGCGTTTCAATCAATAAAAACAACAACGGATTAATGAAGGATTCAAATAAGTATTAAACCTGCAAAAAAAAATGTTATCCTCTCCTCAGCCTTGTGTGTGTATATTGTAAAAATGTAAATGTATAGTCTGCGGCTACAAAAGACAGGTGGTATTTATAATGCGTTGACATATAAATTAACGACACTGTTTACTTACGAGTGAGAGTAGTTCGCTGAACTATTTTCGTTTGACAATCGTATTAATTTTGTTGAACACTTGAGACCATTCAAGGCGGTCTGTCTTTATTGTACATTTATACACTGTCTTCAGAATGAATACATGATTAATACTGCTGACATTAAATTCTCCGTCAAACGAAGAATAATTACATTGTGCAGCGTTGTGCACTGATGAGGTCTAAACTTAGACTGAAAGGTCACACAAAGGTCTACATGTTGAATCCACGTAAATGCCAGGTGTATTGCAGACATTAATAATAAGACTTTAGTATGTCAGAGAGAGAGAGAGAGAGAGAGAGAGAGAGAGAGAAAGAGAGAGCGAGAGAGAGAAAGAGAGAGAGAGAAAGAGAGAGAGAGACTGCCTGACTGCCTGAGTTTGGTTTTACGCCGCTTTTAGCAATATTCCAGCAATATCCCGGCGGGGGACACCAGAAATGGGCTTCACTCATTGTACCCATGTGGGGATTCGAACCCGGGTCTGCGGCGTGACGAGCCAACGCTTTAGCCACTAGACTACCCCACCGCCCCGAGAGAGAGAAAGATGGAGAGAGAGAAAAAGAGGGAGAGAGTTTGTCAGCATACGTCATGTATATGTATCCACCATTAAATGGCGGCAACATTTTAATATTCGATTCTGGATTTGGTTTAGTTTGTTGTTTTACGCCGCACTCAGCAATATTCAATATTCCAGCTATATGGCGGCGGTATGTAAATAATCGAGTCTAAACCACGCAATCCAGTGATCAACAGCATGAGCATCAATCTACGCAATTGGGATACGATGACATGTGTTAACCAAGTCAGCAAGCCTGACCACCCGATGCCGTTAGTCGCCTCTCACGACAAGCGTGGGTTGCTGAAGATCAATTCTAACCGGTATCTTCACTAGCATCGATTCTAGAACAGACAGTCCAATGGTTGATGTAATGAGCAACGGTCCATGCTAAAGGGTTTCACTGAAAATGTCTCAACTACCCCTCCGACCATGCGTTCCATCACGTCTCCTCTTACGACAAGCTTCACATGTTACAGTTGGTAGCCCGAAGACAAGTAGGGTCATGTAAAGGTGGACCTTACGATGGCGTTGAGACCTACGCTGTTACATTTAGAGTTGGCCAGTCGGAGTGAGTGTACTTTCACTCTGCTTTTGTTGAGTTAATGTTCTCGCAACATTTTTTTTTAGATATACAATGCATTTCACTTACATTACATTTTAACGCAATTTACTCAGTGTTTCGTCATTTCCCTTTATAGTTGGTTTTCTGTTCAACGCCGCACTCAGCAATATTCCAGCCATATGGCGTCGGCCTGTAAATAATCAAGTCTGGACCAGACAATCCAGTGATCAACAGCATGAGCATCGATCTGCACAATTGGGATACGATGACGTGTAAACAACGTCAGCGAGTATGAGCATCTATGGGTTACTGAAGACCAATTCTAACTAGGATAATCACGGGTCCTCGACGTCACTTCAATCTAGGGCGGATGGTGAGTGAGTATGGTTTTACGCCACAATTATTTACAGATTGATGTTTGGAAATACATCGTAATAGTCTGAAGTGTTATCACTGTCTGTGGAGAGTGAGTGAGTTCAGTTTTTCGCCACTTTTAGCAATACTCCAGCAATATCACGGCGAGGACACCAGACATAGTCTCCACGCATTGTGCACATGACGGAAACAGAACCCGAGTCTTCGACGTTATGAATGGACACTGTAACCACTAAGCTACCCCACGAAATATGTGGCGGCCTATATGTGGTGTATAACCGAAACTGGCCCATACAAACCAGGGGTCGATGCTGTGGGCGACGATGCTTTGCCGCTGGAGTACGATGACACCTGTCGGCCGTGTCACCGAGTAGAAGGACCGCCTCCGTGGTGTAGTGGTTAGAGCGTCCGCCCGGGGAGCGGAAGGTGGCGGGTTAGATCCCACTGAGATACCATGCCGCAGTGAAGCATGAATACCCCACTCAGACACATTATACTGACTCCGAGCGGACCAGTCCTTGTTGTACCCATTAATGCCGAGCGCCAGGCAGGGACCAACAAGTACCATATTTTAACGTCTTTGGTATGACGCGGTCGGGGATCGAACCCGCGACCTTCCGCACTCCGGGCGGACGCTCTAACCACTACACCACGGAGGCGGTCCACTACGGAAGTTATTTAGATAATCTGTGCCCGAGCAGAGTTTATTTATATAACTACCTTGTAAGGGTGATTAACCTATACGCAAATGACGGAATGTCTGTTAACGCTGCCAGAATGTATGTCATCATGATAGCTGCGTGCCCGACCTTGTGTCACGCCTACTGATCAGTGAGTTAGTGAGTTTAGTTTTACGCCGCTTTTAGCAATATACCAGCAATATCAATGCGGGGGACCAGATATCATCCGAAAGACATGTAAATTGTTCAAACGAGAATCTTAGCGGGGCAAGTTGGGTATCGCTGAATTGTTACACTAAATGAAAACTGCCGGCAACCCACATTTAATGAGAACGCTGTTTCGAATTGTCTCCCCAGATAACGAGGAACTATCAACAGATCAACGTGGAACTGTTCCATTGAGCGTCTCAACAACTTCCAACAGAAGTAATGGATGACTTTGACAAACGTGTTTTAAAATCGTTATTCGTCGATTGCACGGATCAAATGAACCCATTTAATCCAGAAATTAAGGAAAATGCTCAAGGTGAACGTGATATTAATGTGTCTAGGCACACTATCCGTAAACTCTCATGGACGTTTTACAAATTCAAAAGCCAGCGTAACCAAAAGATCACACTTTGTGAGCAGGGAAGGGGGATACTATCTGTGAGAGACAGGTATCTCATAGCTATCCAAATGAAAAGAGAACAGCGAGTGAGCGAGTATGGTTTTACGCCGCTTTAATCAATATTCCTGCAATATCAAGGTGGGGAACACCACAAATGGGCTTCACATATACCCATTTGGGGAATCGAACCCGGGTCTTCGGCGCGACGAGCCAACGCCTTAACCACTAGGCTACCCCACCGCCCCCAAAAGGGCACAGTGATATAAACGTAGTCTGTTTGGACAAAACGTGGGATAATGCAAATCATGCAGATCGTCTTGTCAGTGACAGCATCCAGATTCTAGTCTATGTCGTAAGATGCCTATTGGGTGAGTGAGTGAGTGAGTTTAGTTTTACGCCGCACTCAGCAATATTCCAGCTATATGGCGGCGGTCTGTAAATAATCGAGTCTGGACCAGACAATCCAGTGATCAACAGCATGAGCATCGATCTGCGCAATTGGGATACGATGACATGTGTCGACCAAGTCAGCGTGCCTGACCACCCGATCCCGTTAGTCGCCTCTTACGACAAGCATGGGTTGCTGAAGATCAATATTCTAACCCGGACCTTCACGGGTAAGATGCCCATTGGAGAGGGGGAGAGACTAATCGTCCTGCATCCTGGATCACATCTTGGATTTCCGCCAGGTTGTGATATGGTATTGAGCTTATGGCCGTGATGAACTCTGCTGTTTTCAAGGAATACAAAGCAGCTGGTTCCAGCACTGTCTGCTAAACCTGTCGTTGTTATGGATAACGCCCCATATAGTTGCATAGATCCGGGGAACAATGCCCAACATCTGCATTAGGGAAAGGTGCCATTGTCGCCTGGCTGTGGTCATTGTATAGAATACCAAAGTAATGCTACTAAGCCAGAGTTGTTCCGGATCATAGTTGCAAAAAGGCCTCCATTTTCTAAGATTGAAACAACATGGCCATGAGGTGATCCGTTTCCCACCATATCCCAGTGATCTGAGTGAGTGAGTTAGTTTAGTTTTACGTCGCTTTTAGCAATATTCCTGCAATATCACGATGGGGGACACCAGAAATAGGCTTCTAACGTTGCATCCACGTGGGGAATCAAATCCGGGTCTTCGGCGTGGCGCGCGAACGCACGCACGCACGCACGCACACACAACACACACACACACACACACACACACACACACACACACACACACCCACTGGGATCTGAGTCCAGCTAAACACTTCGTGAAAAAAAGATAGACGTAAAAACTACATCTTTTAGGTCAAAGATGCCAAAAGAATAGCTAGCGAGAAACTCGTTACCAGCGATCTGTGTCAGAAATGTTTCGACCATGTAAAGGCAATGGATATCATATACAAACATACTAAGGCGAAACAACCGGGGACCAAAAGTAAGGTTGACGGACTGCAGAAAGAGTTATTATGAAGACGGATATTTTTTTAATTAAAAACACAACGCTATTTTGTGGTTGGAAATGAAGTGGTTGCACTGGGGTTTCACAAAAACAGGGATAGTTTAATGCGAAATGCTAGACGGCACTGAGTATGGTAGAGCAAAGGCGGATCCAGAAATG